GCTCATTGCAGCACGCGTGGCCCGTCTGCGGGAGGCGCGGGCGGCACGCGCCGACCTGGACCTGCGCTTGCGGTCGCGGGAGTTCCCCCGCCGCCGGTCGCGCTCGCGGGAGGGCTCCCGCCTCGCGGGGCCCGCTGGTCGCGCTCGCGCGGGGTAGTCGTCGTCGTCGTCGTCGTCGTCGTCGTCGTCGTCGTCGTCGTCGTCGTCGTCGTCGTCGTCGTCGTCGTCGTCGTCGTCGTCGTCGTCGTCACAGGAGGAGGGGCCAGGAGGAGGGATGCAGAGGGAAGAGAGGAGGACGAGGAGGAGGAGCCAGGGGGGAGGGGGAGGAGGAGAGTGCGCAGACGAGCGCGCTCCACTACTCGCACAGTAACTACTCGCAAATGGCCCAGATCCGCCGCAGGGGGTCTACGACACTAGTTTGCTGACATTTGCGAGTAGGCCCTTTGCGAGTAGCGGAACCGACTCGGTGAGTGAGGAGATGGATCGAAGTGATTGGGCGGCAGTGGGCGGCAGAACCCCGATGCTAGCGAATTAGGCTGTGAGGTAGCATGTCAGAAATCGAGAAATGCGTCAGCTCAACGGGCCAAAAGGCGTGCTACAATTTCCTGCAAGAAATAACAACCCGTCCTTCCCGCGTGCGGGGGATTGTGCGGTCCTGGGCGGGTACATACCTGGCAGGTATCGAGAGCGGCCAAGAGGAGGGTGTCCAAGAGGGGGGGGGGGGCACATCATGACCGGCGGCACGTGCGCGGCCCATCGGGGGGCCAGGGACGTAATGAAATAAGAAGGGGCGCCATGAACTCTGGGGCAATATCGTGGCCCCCGCCATGATATCCCCTCCCCCCTAGTCATCACCCCCCTCTTTGCCACCCCCGTATTTCTTACCAGAAATAACAACCCGTCTTTCCCGTGTAGGGGGGATTGTGGGGTCCTGGGCGGGTACATACCTGTGAAAGGGGCCCTGGGACAAACAAATAAATACACACATAAACAGCTTCCCCATATTTTCCCATACTTTCTAGGTTTTTGTCTTCCCCCCCCACTTCCCATATTCTCCCGTATTTTCCTGGGAGTGGACGATTAATTGTGTCTGTGTGTGGTTTCCCCTCCTGCACCTGGCAGGTAGGTGCCGGGCCCTCCGCCGGGCAGGGTGCTGGAGCTCCCAAACGCGGCCTGGGCAGCCGCCAAACCGCCGCCGACACTACCAGCGCGGCCCCTACAGGGCAGTTTTTAATACTTTGGATTTTGTGAAATGTCGGATTTGGTTCATTTATGAATAAATCAATGCATAAACTCACCCCTGTATTTAATACTAAATCCCTGCATTTTAGTACATGATCCGCACGCGGAGCATGTATTAAAACCGGCACTGTACGCATCAAACGCGAGCACTGGGTCCCTCCAGACCGCCAGATCTCCAACAGCATGCTTCGCACAGGCCCTCGGGCCGCCACAGGACGGCTCCAACCTGCCACGCAGCCTCCCACGGATACCCCCAAGATGTGCCCAAGCCATTGCCCAACAGAAGGTTCTTTCAGTGGCGCTCGCTTTTTCGAGCTTTCGCGTCCGACGGCTTCTGAGGCCTCAAAATTTGGCGGCGAGCCCGGGAGGGAAGTGAGAAGGGGCGAGCCTTCTCGGAAGGCTCGGAAGTCCCCGGGCCTTCTCAGAAGTGTTCTAAGCCTTCCCCGAAGATATTGACAACCATTCAAAGGCGGGAGGGCTTCTGTGAATCCCCCGCCGCCTTCTGAGAAGCTCCTTCTCACTGCCGACATTCCCCGACGTAGAGGTCTTGCAGTGGCGACTGCTTTCTCGAGTTTTCGATTCCCACGGGCTCTCTGGCCTCAAGAGGGCCCTCGGATCGCCCAATACCCTTTAAATAGAACAGAGAAGGCCTCCCCGAGGGTTGCGAAGAGCCCAAGAGCGCCCCAGCGGGGCCCGCAGCGGAGCCCATGGGGCAATCTGCCGGCCCAAGAGCGGGGGTCAGTGGGAGAGGCAGGCTCCAGGGCGGCCCTGCGATGCCCCCAGGGTGGCCACAGACAGCCTCGAAGAGGCTTCGCAAAGGGGCCCAACCTGTTCCGAAGCCTCCATGGCACTTGCTTCGCCTCCCTCCCCCTCCTCCTCCCCCTCCAACTCCCCCTCCCCCTCCCCCTCCCCCTCCTCCTCCTCCTCCTCCTCCTCCTCCTCCTCCTCCTCCTCCTCACCGAGGCCGCAAGAGATGTCCCCCAGGACCCCAAGATGGCGCCAAGAAGAGGCCGGCAGGGATCCCCCGGAAAGCTCCGAAGGCCCCCAGGGAGCACCCCAAGGAGGAGGAGGAGGAGGAGGAGGAGGAGGCGGAGGAGGAGGGGAAGAAGGAGGAGGAGGAGAGGAGGAGGAGGAGGAGGAGGAGGGAGGAGGAGGAGGGGGAGGAGGAGGAGGAGGAGGAGGATGAGGAGGAGGGGAAGAAGGACCCCAAGAGGGCGCCAAGAAGAGGCCGGCAGGGATCCCCCGGAGAGCTCCGAAGGCCCCCAGGGAGCACCCCCAGGGAGCGCCCCAGAAGGGCTCCAGGAGGGCCGAGGGCCGGCCTCACGTCGGGGATCCACGGGTGGCCACTTCCTCCTCCTCCTCCTCCCTCACTCCCCTCCCTCCTGCTCCTCCTCTCCTCCCTCCTCCTCTCCTCCTCTCCTCCCTCCTCCCTCCTCCCTCCTCCCCGCCCCCGAGCACACCAAGGTGGGCCGGAGAAATCCCCTGGAGGCACCAGCGGGCCCCGAAGAAGCGGCCAGAAGCCACCCGCAGACTCACGCGAGTCCCGCAGGATGCTCTGACAGCCTACGAACTGGCTCAGCACAACACCAGGTGTTCCTTGCACTCCATGGTTGCTGTCCTCTTGTGACGTTGGGCCCCGATTGTGGAACTTGGGGTATGTTTCCACTGGATGGTTTTCACACGACTGTTTGGGAAACCTAGCACCGCCCAGCAACTCCACAACGGCCTCGAACCCAGGCAGATAACAACGGCGGATCAACGGATGCTCGAAGCGGTTGGGCCGAAGGGAGGAGCAGGCCATAGCATGGATAGCAAGCTTTGCATATGGACATGCATGAACTCACCAAGACATTAGCATCGCAGGCTGCACCACATCAGACAACCATGACGCGCTAAACAACTGTAGCACTGAAGTGGCCAGATTGTATGCGATGGGGTAAAAATGGAAGGATGGTGATGCAACTGGATGCGCATGTGTCAACACATGAACGACACATCTACATTCGCGATTGAGGACGTACCTGAATAGGCTTGCAAACGCAATCAACACGCACGTCTCATGGCAATCAAGTGGCATGCGGTAGAACATGCACTTCTCAGAACAAGGACGTGCCACATGCGTGACTATTATTGGGGGTACAATGCAAAACATCTGCAATCGACTGGACACTACAGCATCAACGGACAATAACATAACATACACAACATCTAACATGACGCCAACAGGAACACGTGATGAGCATGCCATGCCAACGAAGAATAAGAGTGACATGGACGACAATATGGTTGCGACGGCTCATAACACCAACCAGCACCACCCGATTTCACAACCCGCCCCTGATGTTAAGGCAACGCTCCATCCACTCCCCCAGTACCGCTCACCGAATAATACCCACACATCGGACAAAGACTGGATAATGACTCAGAGGCCTCTGAGCCAGGCAACCCTTTTTTATGATTGGGGGTTGTGGCTATGCTTCCCGCCTCGCGGGCCAACAGACGGGCATGAGGCGGCAGGAGAGGAGGACAAACACGCGCAGATCGCGGGAGCGCGGAGCCACGGTGACATGGCTCAATTCGCCTCGCGCTCAATCTTGTCAGGGAACATCTCCTCGGCCACCTTCCTCTGGAATTCCAGCGCCTCCTCTGCATCGATGCGCTCGCTGCTCTTGCACACTCGCTCGAATTCCAATCGTGTCTTGTTGCGGAATTCGGAACCGTCCGCCTCAACTCTGACAATGATGCGGCCGAATACCCCTATCTTGACTGACGGATCTGCCCGGCTGGTCGCCTGCTGCTCCTCCTCGTCCACTTCCCACTCGGCCTCGGGCAGCGATACCGAACCGTCGATGCCGTAGCGCTGGATCATAACCGACATGCCCGACCGGCGGATTCGGATGACCACGGCCTCCTCCGACTGTGCCCCCTTTTTGTTAAAGAACATGAACGTGTGCAGCCCAACCGAAGCCTGGCTCGCCCACTGCGCCATCCGGTGCCTGACGTTGATCTTGTCGCACTGCTCAACAATGTCTGGCTTGGACTGCAAATCGTTCGGCAACGGCGTGATGCCGATGGCTGCGGCCAGCAGCCGGTGCACCAGGACGTCTGCGTACCTGCGGATGGGCGACGTGAAGTGGGTGTAGCGCTCCATGGCCAGCCCGTAGTGTCCGTAGAGCGACTCCTGCACGTGGCCCGTGCAGAAGTAAACTGCCTGGTTCATGCACCTGTCAGAGGAGGGTCGCTCGACGAAACGGCGGGCCTCCCCTGCGTGTTCCGTTCTCCCCGGCATGTTTCGTTCCATGTTTTGTTTGAACAAGCGCGTTCCACTATTCGCATAGGAGCTACTCGCACATGGCCCGCATCCGCCGCGGGGAATGTACGATACATGCCATCGAGGAAGACATGTTTGTTTCTGACGTTTGCGAGTCGGCACTCTGCGAATAGTGGAACGCGCTCGGTGCTTTCTGAGCCTCCCCGAGGCCTACCTTCGCCACGCCTGCACTCGCCCAGGACAAAAATCGGGTCAGGATGGACCCCCGGGAGGGGTTCCGGCGCTGACCCCAAAGGGATTCGGGCCCGGCGGGCTGGCACTGACCTCGAACGGAGTCGGGCCGGGCGGGAGACCTGCCGTGGTCGCACTTGACCCTCCTCCGAACCTGGTCGTCATCATCCGCACGAGTTTGTTGAAGAACGGATCGTCGGGTTTCGAGGCCCGTGCCAGCGACTGTCCGAGCTCCCTGTTGCTGCCGAACTGGAAGTCTTCGAAGCCGTTCTTCGAAAGAAGTCTCTTCAACGACTTCAGGGCGTCCTCCTTTGGGGGAGGGTGCCGGCGAAGCACCGCGTACATCGGGAAGGCGTCAAGGATCTTGGAGGCAACGGAGTTGTTGGCCAGGAGCATGAGCTCCTCGATCAGCTTGTTGGTCTCGCGCAACTGGTATTCCGCCACGTCGGTTGGATCCTGCGTCTCGCTGTCCAGCTGGAAGCGAACCTCCTGAGACGCGAGCTCCAAGGCACCACGGTCCATCCGCCCCGCGCGAATGATACGCGTGAGCTTCAGAAGATTCCTGAGAGCGACCGTGACCTCGGACTTGTCGGACGGGTCGTCTATCATGACCTGTGCTTGCGCATACGACAGGGCGGCACGGGACTTGATGATGGCCTTGCTGTACGTCGTGCTCACGACTTGGGCCTCTGGCGTCATCTCCCACAGCACCGAGAACGTCAGGCGCTCCACGCCGCCCCTCAGGGAGCAGATGTCGGTGGTCAGCAGGCCCGGCAGCATGTCCGTGCGGCGCTCGACCAGATACACGGTGGTACACCTCTCGGCGGCCTCCCGGTCCACCGCAGAGCCGGGGTGCACAAAATGGGTGACGTCCGCGATGTGCACGCCGACGCGGAAGTTCCCGTTTGCCAAGGGCTCGCACGAGACGGCGTCGTCGATGTCCTTGCAGCCGGGGGGGTCCACCGAACACACGCAGACGCCGCGGAGGTCCAGGCGGCCCCTGATGTCCTCTGGGCCCGGCGTGAAGTCTGCGGGCGGGAGGCAGCGCAGGACTGCCTCGCTGAACTCGCGGGTGATCACGCCGTGCTCGTGGAGGATGACAGCACTCTCGACGTTGCGGTCGCCCGCGTCGCCGAGGATCTGGGTCCAGTGCCCCCGGGGCGACGAGCTGAACCGGTCCCAGCTGTCGATGACGACCACTATCCGCTTGCCCTCCAGGCTCTCCGAATTCCTGGTCTGTATCATGATGTTTGGCAGCCGCGCGTCGGCGGGAATGAAGAAGCGATCGGCCTTGCTGGCGCCTCGAGCGTCCACCACCGAGCTGAGGGGCTTCAGCGTGCCGCAGTACTCCCGCCAGTTCCGCTTGATGATGCCCACCACCCTGCCCTCCTGCCGGGCCGAGAGCGGTGCCACCCCGAGGGTCTGAGCCGCTTCCAGGCGCGGGCGCTTGAGCGCCCTCTCCTGCTCGCATCCCGCGTCCACGACGTCCACCTTCTCGACTGCGACGACGTCGCCGTCGACCGCACGATTCAGCGCCAGGCGGCCCGTGATCTCGATCTCCTCGTCACCGCAGGCGACGGTGCCGCGCATGCAGCTGGTGTTGGGCATCCGGATGGTCCCCTGCAGCAGCCTCTTCTGTTTCACCCCCTGCTCCACCTGACTCGCCTTCAAGTGCGGCGGGTACACGGCGTCCTTCGGGCCCTCCCGGGTCACGGCGCTGGCTTTGCGCTTCTCGCCCCGGCCATCCTCCTCACCCGCAACACCGGCGATTTCCTCCGCGTCTCCACGAAGCGCCAGCTTCTCTCCCGCCTCTGGGAACAAGGCCCGCATCTTCTCTACAAATTCCTGCGCCGTGAGCGCTGTCAATCCGTCTTTCACAGCGCGTGCCTTGCAAGCCCTGTCGTCTGTGAGGAGCACCACCTCTGGCCCCTCAACGTGCCGCCGATACCAGTGCGCCACGCGGCGGATGGCCCTGTCGTTGCGGTCATTCTGGGACTCCTCTGGTCTCCTGCTAACGTATGTCTCCCGGAAGAATTCGTTGGGGAAGACGTAGAACTTCATGGCGTTCCGGGCTGTGGACATGTCCTTCCGCATGCGCCCCCGCAACATCTCGCGGGCACTGGGGCCACTCTCGGCGGCGCCCTCCAGCTGCGCTGTCTGGCCGTCCTCTGAGGTTGACCCAAACTGGGGTCCAGCTGAAAGGGGGTGGTGCTTAGGGCAACTGTATTGCAAAGATACCACGCTGGAGACATGTTTTCACATTCAACTCATGTGTGGCTCGCGAGAACCCAGCAATACACTTGCGCACCGGAATGTCTTGCACACCCCAAATCGATTGAAAGCCCACAAATCACAAGACATGCGACGTCCTGAATTTTCCATGCGGGGCCCCTGGAAGTCCCGACTCTTTCCCAGGAATCGGTTTTTCATCCCGCGCCGCTTTTTGACGGTCCCGAGGCCCGGCGAGGGCCCCCGTGGGGCCGAAAACGTCCAAACACCTCCTGGCCTCATCTTGTTCCCGACGCGATCATGTCTGGAAATAGATTGCACCACCTCCTCTTCGCTGAACCCCCTTTTTGAAAATCTACTGTGTATATATATATATACACATACTGGAAGTATGATCAATGTTTTTTTCGCTGGACCCCCTTTGGGGCCAACCGGATCCTCTGCCTCCACGCGGCACAGCGCCCGCAGCCTGTAGTACGTGCCCACCTGCCGATGCCTCACCTCCTGAAGCACGGTGTAGGGCACCACCACGTGATTCACGCTGGGGTCTTCCGCGATGATGATGGGCCTGTTTTTCACCACCACCACCACCACCATAAGTTAGAGGAGGAGGAGGAGGAGGTGGAGGAGGAGGAGAAGGACCCCCACCCCCTCCAACTTATGGTGGTGGTGGTGGTGGAAAACAGGCCCATCAGATGAAGTCGATTTTCGGTGGTTCGAAGATGCGGTCCTGAAAGATGGGGTTTTGAGGACGGGGTGCCTCAAACAACGTACATCCACCCTTGGATCGCTTTCTCTCCTGAGGCCCCCATGCCTCAGGGTCCCGCCGTCCCCCCATCCCTCAGGACCCTGTCTTTGAACCACCGAGATCTGATGCAGGGCGACGTTCGTGTCCAGGACGAGGATCTGGTCCTAGAGGAGGCATCCTAGATGGGGCCCGAGAAGATGGGGTCGGAGGATCGCGCCGCATCGGCGATGCATCGGCGATGCACCGGCGGCTGCACCAGCGACCTCGGCGCTGCATCGGCGACGCCGACGTGAAGCACATCGGGCCCCACATCGAGAGCCACATCCACGATGCATCGCCGATGCGGCGCGATACTCCGAACCCATCTCCGCGGACCCCATCTGGGAGGCCTCGAGGTCCGCGCCCTCGAAGGGCTCCGGCACGATGTCGTCCCGGAGGTAGACCTCGCGGACCACCTTCCTTGTGGGAGGGAGGCCAGCGGTCCACCGGCGCCACCCCTGGCCAGGCCAGGCTCGCCACGTGGGCCAGGAGTCGGCGCGCGCGCGCATGCGCCTGCCGGGCCCGGCCTGGAGGGCTTATGTGAGGGGGGGCCCTGGGACACACAAATCAACAGCCACACATCCCAGAGCTCCTAATTGGTTGTTCTCATATGTTGTGGGTTTTCGTCTCCCCCCCACTTCGCACGTTTTCCCACCTGTTCCTCGGGGTCGACGACTTCATTGTGTCTGTGTGTTTCCCCTCCTCACTATGCACCGATCCTCGGCCCCGGGCCCGAGCCCGTACCTTCCGACGTCGTCCGCGGGCTTGGTGCCCGAACGCTTATAGCGAGCCCTGGAAGCGGCAGGGCCGTTTCTACACCGCTTCCGAAGCAGTGTCTCTTGAACATAGAAAAGCACCCCCAAAAAAAGGCGACCCAAAACGACAAGACACGGACTCCACAATTGGATCTGGAGCCGGAACCGGCAAATCAACGGCGACAGAACCGGCGCAAAAACGGCGTCGGAACTGGGAAAAATCGGCAAAACGGAACCAGTAACAAAAAGGGCCCTGTCGTTTCCAGGGCCCAAAAAGTCCGAACGTGCCCCCCCAGAAACTCTTACCTGGGAGCCGGACGCTTACGTACTTAGCTGCCCCGATACACGTAGCGTATTGATACGGGGCTCAACACGTAGACTGACAACGCAGGTGTGTCGCGATCGGTATGCCACAACGTGGGCCAACACGTTGAGCCAACACGCAACGTATTGACACGGACTTTTGAGCACGGTACGCGTTGCCTTCCAAAACGGGCGTATCGAGGCAGCCAAGATTACGTAGCACCCCGCAGTTGCGGATGGGAGTGAGGGAGCGGCGGGGTCGTCGGCAGTCTGCGAGGCTCTGGAAAAGTGTGCCGCACGCGCCAAATCCCGCCAACCGCTCGGGCTAAGGTGGTCTAGCAAGTTCTTTCTCTCCTCTCCCAGGAGCCCTCTTCTCTTCGGAGAGGCTTACCGTCCTTCTCCCCTCCCTGAGGTTTTTGATGGGGGGGGCCGCGATCTGTCAGAGCGTCCAAAATTTTCCAAGATAGCTCCGAGAGGGCCTCCGATGCTCCAAGATGGCCTCCACGGCAGCTCAATATAGCCGAAGATGGTTCAAGATAGCTTCAGACATGGCTCCCAGAAGCTCGACGAGGACCACAAGCCGATTTCAAGTTCTCTCGGAGCCCCCTCAGGATCCCCAAAGAAGCCCAAAACCTTCAAACACCTAAAGACAAACAGTGAGGTGTGCCTTCTGGCCTTCGCTTCCCATGCACTTCTGAGTACTCAGGATTGCCCCAAGATGGCCCAAGAGAGCCTACGATCAGCCCAATAGCATCCCAAGAGCGCCCCAAGAGGCGATGTTGATGGCCCCAAGAGTGGAGGCGATTTTGGTACTCCCTCCTTTTGATCCATGGTCTCCAAGATGGCCCCCAAACGCCCTCTAGGGCTCCCAATGGGACCCGCAAGAGGGCTCCAAGAGGTCCCCCAAACCCCAACACAGCTCCAAGAGAGAAGAGAGCCCAAGACCCAACGGAGTCCCAAGATGGATCCAAGAAACGATTATGAAGGCATTTTCGTCGTCCTCGTTGTCCTCCTCCTCCTCGTCCTCGTCCTTGTCTTAATGGTCTTCCGTTCCTCTTTCCTCCTCTTCCTCTTCCTCGTCGTCGCGGTCATCGTCGTATGTAGTCGTCTTCCTCCTTCTCTTTCTCCTCCATTTCCTCCTCCTCCTCATTCTCCTCCTCCTCTTCCTCCTCCACCTCCTCCTCCTCCTCCTCCCTCCTCCTCCCCACATCGCCCCCACGCGGGCCTCAGGGATAGCCCGAAGAGGCCCACAAAGGAGAACACCTTACTCCCAACGATCCCTCTGTTCACCTTGGCTGTCCGTTGTGTTTCACTGTATGAGTCGCTCCGTTCCTTTCCCGTCAGCTCTCATTGGCAGGGTTTCTGAATGGGCTGCTAAGGATATGCGAAGCATGACGAATCTTTACAGCGTGTTCAACGGGCTCGTAGCAAGCGCCGATTCCATTCGTCAAATAACTGTGGTTGGGTCGCGGGTGGGTCGCCTGCTAGGGCGCGGGGTGGGTCTCGGGATGGGTCGCGGGGTGGGTCGCGGGCGGGTCGCGGGCCAGAACGACGACAACGCAACAGCAACGCAACAGCAATTCGCACCGCGGAACCCCTCTCCAGCCACTCGACCAAGGACAATGAATGACCGCTCGGCCCCCTCACTCTGATACACGTCCTTCCTCTTCCCGTTTTCTGGGAGAGAGAGAGAGAAGGAGGAGGTGGAGGAGGAGGAGGAGGAGGAGGAACAAGGTTGGTCTGAATAGCTGCCCCCCTTTCAAAAGCAATATGGAAACATCGATCGCCTTGTCTAGAAGAAGAGAAAACGCCACGAACATGAACTTTTTGGCGCTCCGCGCGCATTTCCTTCATCTGCGCTGGACCCCCTCTGCCCGGCGCGCGGAGCGCGCCAGGGGCGGCGCCAGAGGCGCCGCGGGAGGGACAGTTTATGTCTGTGCCGTTGTTGCTTGTTGTTGTTTTGTGTTGCTTGTTTTTGATTTTGTTGTTTTGTCTTGTTTATCTCTCTCTCTCTCTCTCTCTATATATATATACATATATATATATATATGTTATCTACTTCTTCGAAGCTCTCCACAAGGCTACGAAGCCTGGGCTGGCCTGGGCAGGAGCGGTGCCGCCGCACAGCTGGCATCTCCCCGAGCGGCCTGATCTTGCACTGCCGGGTGCGCCGCAGGAAGGCGCTGAGCTGCTGGGAGCCCGAGGGCACCTCGCGGCAGCAATCGCCAAGAGAGGGGGGGCGGGGCACACAGGTCGAGCGTGTGGGGGACTCGCCATCGCTCGGACGTCCATTCCCTGTGTTTTTGTTCGGTTTCGTGCGTGGTTTTTTCGCCAGATGATCAAGGATGCTCCTCGATGGTCCTCGCCGAAGGAAACATGCACACGTCCGAGCGATGCCAAGGGGACGGGTCCTGGAGCAGATGGGGTCCTTGAACACTTGCTTGCGGCTCTCGCTGTGAGGAAACTCCTGGAGGCCTTGCGCGGCAACCTGAGACTCGATTCACGCGCAGGATCCACGTCGGATTCGCGTCGGGTTCACGTCGGGCTGCGTCGAGCATAACGTCGGACTGACGTCGGACTGGCGCGGGAGCATCGCCGCGCGAGCATCGACCCATCGCTTACGGAGCTGACGTATGGACTAGATGGTACAACTGTTACGCGCCGCGCGAAGCTTCCAGGATTTCCATCATAACTCTCGGGCCCTCGGGAAACATTGGAATGAAGAGCTGGTCCTGGAGGTCGCCCAGGGTCCAGGACCCCATTTTCTCAGGGCCCCGTTCCCTCAATGAACTTTGAAGGACACGCACCAGAAGAACTCGTACCACGGTCAGGGCAATTGATCAGGAACCCTTGGATAAGGAACCCATGGTCAGGAAGCCCGTGGAACTCTCATCGTGGATTGGCCATGGATATCACAACCGCCCTCATTAGATCCGGGAGCCTCATGGGTTTGAAACCTCCTGGGCACATCCTTTAACCAACGCCCCCACCGTATTAGAAATCCAGGGGGGCCGTTTGTCGTCGAGCCTATGGGAAGGCGAAAACATTACGCCAGATTTGGTCAACTATAGAATGGAATCGGAAGAATGACGAAGGGACCGGCCTTTCACAAGGCCAGGAGGGCTGAGGGATCGGCCCCGTCTCGGAGGCCTGCAGAACGAGCTTCGGGGAGGCGGGATGAATCCATTGGGAGGCCGCCCTCTGGCCTTACGCCCCAGCAAATCCAGTCGAATCGTGGGAGGAAAACAAGCCCGTATCCGAGGCCTGGCGGACCTCCCGGCTACAGGGCGTTTTTTCGCAAAGACCCCGCGCGGAACGTACCCATTCGACCGCGTATCCGCGGGGTCGCGCCCCACAATCCGGACCGCAAAGGCGCGCATGCGGGCGCAGCCGCGGCAGCAGGGGGGGGCTCAGAAGGCTGAAAGAGCGAGGAACATCCGGCCAACATGGACCTCGAATGACCTGACCTTACCAAGTCGCAGCCCCCTGGAACTCTCGAACCCTTCCACCCCTGGTCCGGGCTCTTTACTCTGAGTCAGGGCACGCCCGAAACGATTACCGAACAAAAACGGCACGATGCCCAACAGCAACTACCAACAGCGGCGGCTGTTGGGCGTGTCTCAGATGAACAAGTCCCGAGGCAACACCGACAGCGAGTCCAGTTCAAAATGGACAGGGACCGCTGTCGGTCTTCGCCGATCTTCTCCCTATACCTTATATGCTCGTTCTGGGGACCCTCCTGGAGCCACTCGCTCCACCCATGCGTCGGTGCTGCGACGAACGTTCGTCGCCTTGAGTCGAACTCCAGTCCAACCTCGGTCGAGCAAGGGTCGTCGGGTTGACCTAGAGCCGAGCAGATGCACTAGTTTGGCCCCAAACAGGTTCACACAACGAATGTGTAACGTACCCTGAACTCCGACATTGCGAAACACTTGCAACATCGCAAATGGTCACCACCAGAGCCCCAAACCTCATCTCTCCCCGCCACTTTCGGAGCTGGATAGCTCTGCGAATGCCACGGAGCCCCGAAACAGGGGACAAAACAGACAATTGTGTAGGAAAGCCAGCGACGCCAAGATCTCAGGGTTCTAACATACTCTTTTCGACCGTGCCCAGAACAGTCCCTTGACGACCCTCCCCCTCCTCATTCTCTTTTCATGTTCTGCAAACATCAGAGACGGGGCCGTTGATGTTCTCAACACCTCGAACTCTTACTGGGAAGGACGCAACACAAATCCCAAGAGGACGAGCGCGAGATGACCAAAGCGTGATGTGCGACAGTAGTGCTGGAATAAACGTGAAACAGGCGCGGGGGCCTGGATAAGATTAGCATGGGGCAAGCGGGTCCTAAGGGAAGCGGGTCCTCAAGCCTGACGCCTTCTCCCAGGACGAGCTTTTCATCCTGACCCGTAGGAGGAGGAGGAGGAGGAGGAGGAGGAGGAGGAGGAGGAGGAAGGAGGAGGAGGAGGAGGAGGAGGAGGAGGAGGAGGAGGAGGAGCGAGGAGGGCCCCCAAGCGCCCTGAAAACGGCGACAACCTCAGGGCCCATTTTTTCCCTCAGGACCCGCTCCCCCCCCTGGCGAAGAAAGTGTAGCGAAGAAGATGCCCCCCCCTCTCCTCCCTCCCTCCTCTCTCCTCCTCCTCCTCCTCCTCCTCCTCCTCTCCTCCCTCCTCCTCCTCCTCCTCTCCTCCTCCTCCTCCTCCTCCTCCCCCTCCCTCTCCCCCCCTCCTCCTCCTCCTCCTCCTCCCCCTCCTCCTCCCCCTCCTCCCCCTCCTCCGCCTCCTCCTCCCCCCGGTGCGGGCGGCTCGGCAGAGGAGGCGCCGAGCGGGGCGCACCGCGGCCCGCTCCACGCAGGGCGGAGGAGGGTGGAGGATGGAGGAGTGGAAGACCCTGGAGCATACCGAAGCATTGTTCTCGGGGTTGATGACGCTGGAGGATGGAGGATGGAGGAGTTGAAGACCCTGGAGGATGGAGGAGGAGGAGGAGGAGGAGGAGGAGGAGGAGCAGGAGGAGGATGGAGGAGTTGAAGACCCTGGAGGATGAAGGAGGAGGAGGAGGAGGAGGAGGAGGAGGAGGAGGAAGAGGAGGATGGAGGAGTTGAAGACACTGGAGGATGGAGGAGTTGAAGACCCTGGAAGATGGAGGAGTTGAAGACCCTGGAGGATGGAAGAATTGAAGACCCTGAAGCATACCAAAGCATTGTTCTCGGGATTTTAACGCAACAAATCAATCTGACTGTCGCGTGGAGACACTCCTGACTCGTGCCAGGCCGCCACTCCAGGGACTTCAACACAACGAATCAACGTAACTGTTGCGCCCGCGAAATGCAACAAAAATCTGGTACGCTGATGATGGGGATTTGTGAAACTCGTGCAATTTGTTGCAAAAACGAATATGCGCCGCGCTACGGCGAGGGGCACATATTGAAAATCACCTGCGCCTCATCCGTGAAACTCTCGCAAATGTTATCAAAATGCGCACCGCGCTAAAGCGAGAACCACAGATTGAAAACCACCCGCCCTCAATCCGTGAAGCTCTTGTAATGTTTGAAACGAATGTGCGCCGCGCTGAGGCGAGAGCCACATTTTGGAAACCACCCCGCCCTCAATCCGTGAAGCTCTTGCAATGGTTTAAAAGCGAATGCGCGCATCGCTAAGGCGAGAAGCACCTATTGAAAACCACCCGCCCTCAATCCATGAAGCCCTCGCGAATTTTTAAACACATATGCGCCGCGTTGAAGCGCGAGCCACATTAGGAAAACCACCCGCCCTCAATCCGAGAAGCTCTCGCAAATTCTTCAAACGGATGCGCGCCGCGCTAAGGCGAGAACCGCATTTTGAAAACCACCCGCCCCCAATATGCGAAACTGATCTCAATGGTTAAGCTTCAGAATCATGCATAATGAAAGAATATCAAGCGAAACGCCCGGTCCGCCCTAAAAACTTGCCTCGGTGTGCGACAGGGAAACATTATTTGTAAGGAAAAGGAATGGAGGAGGAGGAACAGAAAGAGGAGGGAGGACGAGGAGGAGGAGGAGGTGGATGGGGAGGAGAAACAGGAGGGAGGAGGAGGAGGAGTTAGAGGAGGAGGAGGAGGAGGAGGAGGAGGAAGAGAAGGAGGAAGAGCAGGAGCGAGAAGAAGGAGAAAGAGGCGGGAGGACGAGGAGGAGGAGCGAAAAGGAGGTGGAAGGATGGAGGCAGGAAGCAAGGGAGGGAGGGAAAGAGGGATGGAGGGAGAAGAGGGAGCAGGAGGAAGGGAAGGAAGAGGAGGAGGAGGAGGAAGAGGAGGCCCAGCGTCGGAATGAGTTCGTCAGCCTCGCCTACGCCTGTCGAGCATTCAAACCTCTGGCAATCGATCGCCACCCGCCCATGGGGGTGTCCGTCGCCAGCTGAGCCGCTTTGGCAAAATCGCGCGCCTGGTCGGCGGACGGAAACCATCCCCCCCTGCGCCTCCTCGGCTGGTGGAGGAGGCGGTGGAGGTGAAAGGGAATAACGAGTTGTCGGAGCCGCAGGAGAGAGGGATCCAGGATGGCCAGCCGACGGGGAAGGGACGGGTCCACCTCGGACCCAGACACGGAGCGAACGAGGAAAAGGAATCCAGGGCATCGCACGTAGTGGGCGAGGGAGTCTGGGCACGCGCACCCCGTCAGACAGGACAGGTCGGGGTTGCGCATGCGGGTGTCCGTGACCCACCCCCCCGTCCACGTCTTGATGGCCGCCATTCTCCAGGACGGGGGGGAACGCATCAGAAGACCCACCACGCCGTCCCAGCCCACCGCCCGACAGACGTCCTCCCCGACCTGGAACCATTTCTGGAGACGCTGGGCAATGAGAGGGATGAGAGAGGAGGCGGAAGGGTAAAGAATGGGAGCAATGCCCGCCTGGAGGCACTTCTGCAGCTCGACGGGCGGGGCGGGCCTGCCCGCCGCCAGCGCCTCCCGCAGGGCCGACTGGCGAGCTCGCAAGAGGGCGAGGCCCGCGCGGGCGGGGGAGGCGAGGGGGCCGAGCTCGTCCGAGGCCTCCGCCGCGCTGCGGAGATTCCAAGCCAGCGGGGGCTCGACCCAGAAGCTCGGCCAAGGGGTGCGCCCTCTCCCCCGCCCGACCCACTGCGCCATCGGGAGGTGTTCCTCCGCCTCCGCCTGAAGCCTCGGACAAAGCGATCTCCAGACCGTCGTCGTCTCGAGGGCGGTTCGCATTCGGGCCGCGAGGGCGACAGCGCGGAGCGGGGGGAGCGAAGGGCCACCGAAGGGGTGGAGGTCGAAGAAGCAGCGAAGGGGGGGCCACGAGCCCGGCGCTCGGAAGAGACGAGTGAGATGGTGCCGCTCATCCGCCACCCCAGCTCTGGGAAGTTCGAAGAGCTGCGATTTATACTGCAGGACGCTCACAGCTCTCTCTCTCTCTATGTACAGCACGCCACACGCTGCCGCATCTGCGCCCGTGCTCGCAATCGCGCGCGTGCGGTCTCTGTACTTCTGCACAACTGGCGCCCACTGCGCGCGCATCGTGGTGGAGGGGCCTAAGACGCATCCCAAGTAGTCTAATTCCGAGACGACCTGGAACAGCCGCCACTCACTCGAGGTTTCCTGCAAGTACTGCTGGGTTTGATTCTGGATGGCTGGCGAGAACGGGGCCCACAGGGGGACGCAGAAGCATTTGCTGGGCCGAAGATGCAGGTTCGCGACCTTTCCCGAAACCGAGAAGACGCGGCGCAGAACTTTGCGGCCAGGGGCCCCCCAGATCACAGCTCCGCAGTCGTCCGCACACCATCTGGCGAGCCCCTTGCCCACACAATCACCGCCCGAGAGGGCCGAATCTAGATCACGGACAAAAGGGTCGACTCCTAGAGCGGACGCGCTGCCAGAGGGAGGGCCACCCTGCATCACTCCCCCTCGCACGTTATACAACGGGACGCGAGCAGAGCAGGCACTGAACGTGGTAGCATTCACATATGTGCCCTGAAGCGCCTCGAGAAAACCAACAGGGGCCCTCCAGGCCTCAAGAGTCCTCCACATCCAGGCATGATCCAAGGAAGGAAAAGCCTGGCCATAATCGAAAGCAAGAAGCATGGGCGACGATGACGCAAGGGAGCAGCCCGCGGGGTCGATCGCGCGCATGCTCGCAATGCGTGCCCAGGCATCGAGCTCGACCAGGTTTGACAAAAAGCTTCTCCCGCGGACGAAGCCTCTCTGCGAGGCCGAAACTGTCTGTTTGATACCACGGGCAAAACTAAAATTGAAAGCGCTCGAAATCGCTTGCCCGTCGATTTCAGAGAAAGAGGACGGGTGGCGCTCGGAGGACACGAGTGGGGGGAGCCATCAGACGGGGCCTGCGAGTTCGGGATGAACACGCCAATGGCACAATTGAAATCGGACCTCGTCGGGTATCTCGAGCGAAGCCAGACCGACGCGCGATAGAGGATTTCTACACCCTGCTTCGCCGCTCCCCACGCTGCTGCAGGCAGGCCATCAGGGCCAGGCGCCGCAGGCCTGGCGCGGGCCACCGCCTGGCGCAGAGCCTCAGGACCGGGCGGCGGGAGCGCGTCCCAGTCGGGGGCCGGCGTGGCGAAGCGCTCGAGGTACAACTTCTGCATCCTCGCCTTCCTCCGCTCGAAGACTGGGTCCTTGGGCGGGTCGAAGACAGGCTTCCAGTGGGCCGCCAGCGCCTCGGCCATGCCCTCTTGCGTGGTCACCGCGCCCTGGGGAAGGTCCACCGCGGCCAGGTGCTGCCTGGCCCCCCGAGGGGCCCAGAGTTGTGCACGCCGCTGGAGGGCGCGAACTTGCGCGATCATGCGCTTGCGCAGTTCCTCAGCAGACTCCTCCTCAGCCTCTGCCTGCGCCTCGCGCCTGCTGGCAGCCGCCTCGCGCCGCTGGGCCATCGCGTAGCGACGCTCGAACTCGGCTGGGCCCTTGAGCGCCACGCGGTGGGGCTGACCCTGCGGCCCCAGCTCAATCATGTCATTCGCCCAGGGGTTCTGCGCCATCACCACCCTCGCCAGCGCAGCGTCCTGGCGCCAGAACGCTCGGGCCAGTTGCCTCCAGATCATGGCGTTGGGGCCCTTCGCGCCGCCGTTGGTCGCCAGCGGCTCGGCCTGCAGGAGCTTGGCCGCCGCCTGGAGGGACGCGACGTACGCCGCGTACGCGTCGGGAGGGGCCATCTTGTCCCAGCACACCTCCGCGCAGTAGAGCTCCACGATCTCGCGGTAGCGCGGCATCTGGACCAGCCTCCTCGGGATGGGGGCGGGGCCCCGAGAGCGGGGCCGCGGCGCCCTCGGCGCAACCGATGCGAAGACCATCGCGCGGTCGCTCGCCTCGTTGATGCGCAGCTCCCTCGGCTCGCCGCGCACCGAGGCAGATTGCCAGAGCTGGCAAAGGGCCCAGCGGGGAACGCTCACCAGGACTTTTTGTCAATCCTGGAAGCCCGACGCAGGCCTTGGTGCCAGTGCGTCGCTCTGGCGGGGGCCAGGTCCACCGCCAGGCGCGCCGCCTCCTCCCAGGCGCGCTGGGCATGCGCCCTCGGCCCAGACGGCGCAGGCCCAGGAGGCTGCGCGCTGAACACTTCCTGCTCCAAGACGTCGCCGTAATTGAAGTCGCCCACTACAACCACTGCACGGGCCGCAGGGTCAGCGTGGGCCCAAGCAAGGTCAGCTCGAATATGTTGAAGAAGACGGGTGCGCACGTCCACCGTGAAGCCGTGGTTGCGCACGTTCCAGTGGCGGAGCTCAGCGCCTGACTTGGAGGCCGTAACCCTGAGGGCACGGCCAGGAACAGCGTCAAACGGGATGTAGGTGATGCGGTCTCCACTCGTCTGCGCGGGGAAGACAGTGGCCACCCCGCCCGCATCAGATTGAGCTCCGATCGGTGAAGAAGCAAAGCAAACAAAACCTCGGGCAGTACGACAAAGCAGCTGCTGCATGGTCTCCAAGCCCGCGTGCGTCTCCTGCAACCCCAGTACGACTGGCCCCCGCCAGTGCGTCTGCAGGTAACGCATCTTCCCCTTGATGAGCCTCGGCAAGTAGCTGGCGAAAGCCCGGGTGTTCCACGACGCGAACTGGGCCACCCCGTCCGCCGCACCCCAGCAGCGAGCCATCCTGCTAAAGGCACCACTCCTGCGCTTCGGGTTGCAGCACTCGAGCCGCCTCCTCCGCCAGCGCGTCCTTGTCGAGGTTGAACTTCCTGATGCACGCCATGTTCCAGAGCACCTGGGGGCACGCCGTCGGGGATTCGATCTCCACCCGCAGCAACTGCGCCCACTGCAGCGACAGCGCCGCCGCGTCCTTCTCCATGAAGAGCTTGTGCGGAAGTACACCTTGAATCCCTTGCTTGATCTTCTTGAGAGCCAGCTCGTGACTGACTTGGCGACGGTTCCGATCCTTACCCAGATTGAGGAGGACCTGCGCTCCCGTCGGGGCCGACGCGTGGATCTCTCGCCATTGTCCCTGCCCCAAGCGCATGAGCTGCAGCAGCTTGTTGACCCGCCGAGCCGCCAGAGCTGCCGCGCCCTTGCAGCGGAGGAGGAAGCGCTGCGACACCGCGTCGCCCTCCAGCACGACGTGGTCGTTGAGCTGCGCCTCCGCCACCAGCGGGGCCAGCGCTTGCTCCACAGCCAGCTTGGAGAGCGCAGTCTTGGCGAAGACCGTGACGACCGCGGGGTCTGGCGTCCTGTCCCAGTTGCCACCAGAGGGCGCCGCAGGGACGCCCGCGTTGAGCACCACCAGCTCTTCCTTGAGCTTCTGGGTATCCTTCTGCATTTGGTCGACCTGTACCATCTTCTCCTCCACTGGCGTGATACGGTCCTCCATCGCCTGGAAGCGGCCGTCGTTCTGCTGCGCCATCTCGACGAGCGCCGTCTGGAAGGCTTGCGACATGCTCGAGCTCGCTGACGTCACTGCCGCTTGCAGGGAAGCCTGGAGGCGCGCCTCCATGCTTTGCAAGCTGGCCTCCACCGAGGAAGGGGTGCCACCATGGGCGCGAGCCGCTCCCGAAGCCGCCGCAGCCGCACCAGGCCGAGCGGGAGGGGCGCCCAAATCGCCAGAGAGGCCGGTGCGGGAGGCCTGCGCTGGATGCTGGCGTCGGGCCCTCTCTCCGCCAGCAGGGGGCAGGCCAGCGCGTGCAGCCGCGGCCGCCCATGCGTCAGGAGGAGCGCCTTCCGCGCTGGCGTCGCGCGCGTGCTGCCGCCGCCAGTTCTCCAGGTCCTCGTCCAGGTCCACGGGGCCAGCGGTCCGCGGGGGCCCACGCCCGCTGCGTGACGTGGAGCGGCCCTCCGACGACCCGTCCTCAGGTGGGTGTCGGGGAGCCCTGCGCTGGCGGCCGCCAGCAGGGCGAGAGCCAGAAGCACTAGCCGCACCACTTTTGCCACCCTTACCCGAGCCAACCATACGTTCTTGTGAAGGGAACGTGGGAGCCGCCTCCAACTCATCAGCAACACGTTGATTGTCAGCCTCAGAAGGTAATCCCATCGGAGCAGCAGTCTAGGAAGGGGACAAGTCTCGGCGGGCGCCCAACTCCCGCGGTAAAGGCGAAGAAACTCGAGGTCTAGCCGCGGACTAGCGGTATCCGTTTTGGCCCCAAGGGAACCAGGCATCTTGAGCCAAAATGGCTACGGAGGAGGAGGAAGAGGAGGAGGAGGAGGAGGAGGAGGAGGGGGAGAAGGAGGAGGAGGTGGAGGAGGAGGAGGACGAAAAGGAGGAGGAGAAGGAGGAGGAGGAGAAGAGGAGGCTGAGGAGGAGGAAGAGGAGGAGGAGGAGGAGGAGGAGGGTTGAGGATTAGGGGGGAGGAGGAGGAGGCGGAGGAGGAGGAGGAGGAGGAGGAGGAGGAGGAGGAGGAGGGTGGAGGAGGAGGAGGAGGAGGGTGGAGGAGGACCCCCACGCCCCCTCCCCTGGTGCGCGCCGCGGGTCCTCGTCGAGCTCGCCCTCGGCGCCGCCGCCCATGGCCGGCTCACCGCCGAGGGCGCGCGCGCGCGAGATCGGCGCGCGGCGCCCTCGGCTGGGCCAGACTTGCTGCGGGCCCAGACCTCCTCGGGCCACGATGCTCGATGCTCGATCCTCGACCCTCGGTCCTCGATCCTCGATGCTCGATCCTCGATGCTCGATGCTCGATCCTCGATGCTCGATCCTCGACCCTCGGTCCTCGACTTTCGTTCGATCCTCGATCCTCGCCTGGGGGGGGGGGGTCGGGGCTCGCGGGCGGAACCTCGGTCCTCGACTTTCGTTCGATCCTCGATCCTCGCCTGGGGGGGGGGGGGCGTCGGGGCTCGCGGGCGGAGCTGGCAGACAGCCAGTCTGCGCTCGGACGCGCGGGGCCGCCTCCCGCTCGGCCTCGATGACGCGAATGCTGACGTTGCTGCATCTTCTGCTGCCGATGGTGATGATGGCGGCGATGATGCTGCTGCTGGTGGTGTTGCTGCTGATGCTGGTGCCGATACCGATCGCGCTGTTGATGTGGATGCTGCTAATTATGATGGTGATACTTGAGATGATGAGGATGGTGATGGTCGTGATGATGATGCTGCTGCTGATGATGATGATGATGCTGATGATGATGATGATGATGATGATGATGATGATGGTGGTGGCATGCTCCAAAGGGGGGCTTAGCGTTGTTGGATAAGACCCTCACGGATGGCACGCGTGCGTTGGGCAATGGCGCGTGCAAGAGACTACGTCAGGGCTTCCACCCTGGCAAGTAAATCCACCGCAAAGACTTTCGCCCTCAGAGTATGATTAGAAATAAGAAGGGGGATCATGCACATGCGCAATCTCGGCACCTTGTAAGGCCCTCGCGTTCGGCGGGCGGGTGTCTCAGTAAACTGCGATCATTAGCATTCCATTCGGCAACATCGGGCGGCAGCGACGGGATACTATTGGGGAAGGGCGGCAACAACACAAGGCACAGGAAACAATGAAGTATATGGTCGGAAGCCTGGGCCCCGCGGCCCATAATGCAGCATCTATAGCTAGAACGAAATCGAGCACTAGTCGGCCAGGCACTACATGGAATGTCGATTTCAACAGAGGAGTGGCAAGACGGTAGCGGCAACGGCAAGGGCTCGAAACAATGAACAGTCAGTGGATCTCTGGGAACTCACTCAGGAATTGTCGGATCTCTCGGAACTCACTCACTCAGGTAAGACATGTTTTCTCTCGCTTGCTCTCAGCAGAAGGTGCTGGGGATGCAGCTGCCAGCGCTGTACATGAGCTGCTACCTTGGGCTGCGGCTCGCTGAAATTAGCTGCTTGAAAGGCGCTGCTACCCTGGGCTGTAGCGCCACGCAACTAAACACACCAGAATTATTCATCCCACACGGCACACTCTTGAGAGGCGAGTCGAGAATAAACACTGTTAAGGAGCGGGAGCTGGAGCAGGAACGGGAGCGGGGGGAACCCCGCGACCCGATCCCGGCGATCTCTCGATTCCTGGCGCGTCATGCCTGCGTGAAGGCCATCCGTGCCTGAGGCATGTTCGCTGGCAGGCCCACCTGTGCTGGAACACCGAGGCGCGCTCCAGCTCAGCAGCCACCGATGAAGGGGCCCTGGGACACACAAATAAATACACACAAATAAAATGATTCCCCATATTTCCTCATATTTTCTGGGTTTTCGTCTTCCCCCCCACTGCCCATATTTTCCCATATTTTCCTGGGAGTGGACGATTCATTGTGTCTGTGTGTGTTTTTCCCCTCCTGAACAGAGCAGCCGGCCGCCCCGCTGTCGGGCGGCCTGGCGGTGCTCGGCCGTCGCAGGGCCGAGCCCCCCCCGCGGGGGACGGAGGAGGAGGAGGAGGAGGAGGAGGAGGAGGAGGAGGAGGAGGAGGAGGAGGAGGAGGAGGAGGAGGAGGAGGAGGAGGAGGAGGAAGAGGGGGGGGAGGAGGAGGAGGATGAGGAGGAGGAGGAGGAGGAGAAGGAGGAGGAGCGCCAGTACCCCACGATTCCACGGGTCTCACGGCACTCAGCGCCTCGTGGGCTTCAGCCAGGGGTAAGGCTTAGCCGATCCAGGCGGCGGCGGAAAAATCGAGTAATTGTTGGGCATCTTTGCTAGCGCCGCTTGGAGGGCATCTAGCTGTTGGGGCAGAGTTAAAGGGCGCCCGTCTTGATGAGAGGCCATATCTTTGGCCACGTGGTATATATAGAAGCTGAGAGCAGTAGCTAAAATGGCATTTTCCCGGGTAAGGTCACACGCGGGGTATTGCACAGGAAGGCCAAGCCCGAGGCGGAGGAGTGGGCACGACGAGACGACAGCTCGAGGACGACAAACGAGATGGGTGAGGCGGGGGCACGTCAAATAGTGTGCAATGCGATCGGGTTGAGGGCACCCGAAAATGCAGCTCCACTTGATGTCCGTGACGTGCAAGCGGTGAGTGGTCGTCCATCCCCCCGCAATCGTTTTGAGGTACGGCCATCGCACCGTGGGTGGAGCCCGGCTCAAGATGTCCCGCACCAAATCCCACCGCTCCCTGAGCCGGATGGGGGTCGGACAAGAAAACCATGCGCGCAATCGCCGACCAATTAGCAACTGCAACTGGTCAGGATAAGCGTCGCCGGCAAGGGAGCGGTGATACACTCCCTGCATCCGCGGTCGACGATTCAGTGCGAACGCAGCGCGCAGGGCACCGCGCGCCCGCTGTTGGGCAACACGGAGGTGCGTTGAGGTAAGGGGAGGATTCGATGCTGGCGCGGCGGACGCAAGCTCGTGATAATATTGCACAATGGCCTGCTTGCGGGCCCAGCACGGTGCACACCACGTGCCACTGCTGAGAGCGGGAAGGCTCAGAGACTCCTGAGCGGCGACCTCCAATCGTCGATACAGCGGCCCCCAAATCGTGTCTAGCGTAACGGACGCGCACCTCACCTCCATGCGCACGCCATGGCATTCGTGAGTAGAGAGGTGGGGGTAGGGGAAGGAGACCAATTGGCCAAAGAGAAAAACTCGGAGCGAGAGAACGAGTTCGGAGGGAGGTGGAGGGCCTTGTGGAGACCCCAAAGCTCACGATCGCTCAAAGCCTTATCGACCGGAAAGAACTGTGCCACATATGACGTGCAAGTAAGCACCGCAGAGTTGTACAATCGCGATGCTAGGTCGGCTGATGACTGCAGCTCACCAAGCTCCGTGCACCTAGCACCCCACTTCATTGCGGGAACCTGCCACTCATCAGCAAGAGTGGCCTCGGGGCCCTGCCACGTCCCGAGATATTTGGCCTTCCCACAAATTTGAAAAGTGGCCCATCCGGGGGCCCACCCACGCAGCTCCGCCCGAAGCTGTTCGGCGAGGTCGGGGGTGAGAGCAGTCCAGAGGGGGACGAGAACGCATTTGATCGGCTGCAAGCGAAGGGAAGCGACTCGTCGCAACTGTGAAAAATGTGGCTCCAATTCTCGCACGCGCGCAAGCTGGCGGAGGACCGTGCCAATATCATCCGCGCAGGCCCCGAGCGTTCCCGAGTCCTCCGTAGCGTGAGGGGCCGGCTGCGGCGGGGCGGACATTCGGGCAATTGTTCGCCCTGCACACTGGCCTGGGCGAGAGGAGGGAGACGGGGCAGCAGGGGGGGGGGGCGAGGACAGGGCGCGAGACAGGAGGCGAAGAAACGGATCAAGCCCAAGAGCCCAGAGAGCGCCGTTCAAGGGGCAACCTTGCGCGACTCCCGACAAAATGGGAAGCGCGACTTCTCGTCGACCGCCGATCCGGACAAAACCTATCATGTGCGAATATAGGCCACTGACGGCCAGGCGATAGCCGAGAGGGAGGTTGAAACGCTCGAGGACCTTTCCTAAGTATTTCCTACTGAGGCTCGGGAAAGCCGAAGCAAAATCAAAGCTGAGGAAAACTGGGTGCTGCGTAGGCGCGGAGGGGTCGAGCGATGCGGCGCGTGCCTCACAGTCCATCTGCACGATGTGTTTCGCGAAGTTCCGGCCGGCCACGAACCCCTGTTGCGAGGTATGGATGTGCTTTTCGGCGACAACTTTCAGATTCCAGTTGACAGCTGCTGCGATGGCCTTTGCGTCCTGGTTCTTGAGGCTCAGGGGGCGGGTTTGGCCGGGCTGGCGGACGCAGTCGATGAGGTCGTTGCGCCCGGTTTCGGCGGAACCCTTCGGCAAGAATGCGAAGTCGCTGAAATTCAGGCCTGGCGCAACCATGCTGCCGTCGAAGAGCTTCAACAGCATTGGGTAGACGGCCTCCATCGCGCGTGGACACGCTAGCCACGCATCCACTGGCAAGCCGTCGGGCCCAGGAGCCGCGCGGCGTGCGCGCTTGAAGGCGGCAGTCAGTTGCGCCTGCGACGGGATAGGAAGGTCCATGTATGGAAGAACGGGCAGGGACGCATCCAAGAAACGGTCGATGTCGGCGTCGCAGGTGTCCTCGCCGAAGAAGACGGCGGACCAATGCTTGACCAATGCGTCGGCTATCTCGCCAGGCTGCCTGGCGACGTACCCGGCTAAGCCAGCGCCCCGCACGTGCAGGCCGTAATGCACGAGCCGCTTCCGGAACGGTGCCCAGAGCGCGGCGCGGCGGCGCGCGGCAGCCTCGCGGCGCTGGAGCTGTTCCCCGCTCTCGGGCTGGCTGTTGTTCCGCACGCGCCACGCTGCAGCGCGGACCTGCTTCTCGTGCCACCTCGCATTTGTGGACACGATGGCCTCCTCAAACGCGGCAGGGTCGGCGAGGGGGACGCTGTCGGAGTCGAAGCTGAGGAACTGCACCCCCAGCGACGTGTTGGCAGATAGGCGGCGCGCCAGCCAGACGTCTTGGCGCCAGATGGCGCGGGCGATGCTGCGGAGCGTCTGCCGGCGCGCCTCGAGTGCAGCAGGCTCGCCGCGCTCGGTGCCCTCAGGGATCCTGGAAAGAGTGTCCCGCGTGATCATGGCGGCCTCCTTCATCATCCTCTTGGTCTCCTTGAGGCGCAGCTCGGGAGGCAGGATGACCGCGTCCAGCGCCGTCAGCAGAGTGCCCAGAGTCTTCGCGTACAGCGGCGCCTTGAATATGTACGGCGGGATGCTCTGCTAGTCAGGAGGGACGCGCTGTTTGGGTCGGAGGCGAAGAACAGCAGCGGCATGGTCACTGAGATTCCACTCTGCGTAGCTGGCCGCCTCGCGATGAACCTCAAAGTCGCACGCGAGCTGTTCCACAAACTGCGGCGGCAGCGACACGAATGCACGATCTATGCAAGTGGCCGTGTCCGTCGTCTTGTCGTATCTCGTAGGGAGCTCGCTGGTGACCTCGATCATCTGGTCATCGAACATGTCCTTCCACTGTCGCGGATGCTGCCGGTAGCGCACGGCTGGCCGGCGAGCCTGCCCAGGTGCAGGATGGATGTAGGAGGCCGTCTGCGACGCATTCAAATTGAAGTCGCCGATTGCGATGAACGTCCGATTCTCCACGTCCTCGGCGGCCCAACATGCAGCAGCGTGCCACGCAGCCGCGGTGGCGGCCAGCTGCGGAGCCGTGAAGTCAAAATTGTGAACGTTCATAATGCGCATGCTGGCATTGGACATGGGGTTATGGATGTGGACGACCTGCACCCGGCCAGGCACGACGATGTCTTGCCACTGCTGGGGCCGGTCCTCCGCAGTCAGCGCCGCGATCGCATCGGCCGCCGAGTGTGGGACGAGGACTGCCACTCCTCCGTATCCCGCGGGCGAGCCATCCTCATGCAATGGGGCAGCACAGAAGTGCACATCAGATTCCGAGGTGACCTGTTTGAGGGACTCGATCAACAGCTGACGTGACCCTCTAACTTCCTGAAGAACAATAATGGCGCGCTGGCGTAGGAAGGGGGCAACGTGACGAAGTTTCTGCAGTCGCCGCCGCTTGCGGGAACACAGAAAGGAGCCGGCGTTCCACGCGACGACGTGTAGGCCTCGGGTAGGATGTGGCGGCGTCGCGCCAGCTGCCCACGGACGCCATCTTGCATCAGGAGTACCACCCAGACGTGTCTGTCGACATGGTGGTGAACATGTTGGCGAATTGGGATCGGTACTTGACGTAGTCGATGCTGTAGCGTTCGATGGTGTGCGGGTTCCAGATGATGGAGGTCGGCTCGTCCATGGCGCCCACCTGGAGCTCGCAGACGCGGACTGCGTCAACGCTGATGGTGCCGGTTGCCCGCTTGACCTTCCGTTGGAGGTCAGGGCGATCGTGTTCGAGAAGGGCGTGCAGCTTCTTGGACTGCACCTCGCGTCGGACGTCTTTGGGGCTCTTGTCCCCGCTGACGTAAAGCGGCTGCGGTTGGTTAGCGGCGTTGTGGACCACGAAGTTGCGCCAGCGGCCGCTGACCTTAAGGCACCTTGTGAGCGCCAAGGCGCGGGCGGCGGCCTCGGCACCTCCTTCGATCTGTATGTTGAAGCGCTTGTTGGGAGCCTCCGAGCCGACAACTCGCATGCAGTCGATGGGCACACCTGCGTCTGCGAACCATTGGGCCACAGCAGTCTTGAGGGCGTCGGCGGTGAAGACGCCAGGGCTGCCACAAGAGAAGACAGTGGGCTCAGGAGGGCGGTCCCATTCTGCCAGCTGCTGCATTGTGAAGGCGGGCAGCTTGGCCTCCGCGATCGCGAGGACCTCCTCCATCTTCTTGACGGTGTCTTTGAGCTGACGCTGCTCACGTTCCAGCTTGCGGGTGGAGTCCCGGCAGACGTGGAGCTCGCGTTCGAGCTCGGAGTGCTTGGTGTGGACCGGGCCGAGCTGGGTCTGCATGGACTGCACAATGCCCGCTTGGAGCGAGCCCTGCATAGCCTGGATGCTGCTGGTGACCAAGGTGGACAGGGAGGCCGACAGATTGGCCTCGATGGAGGCCTGGGCCGCTCCGAACTGGTTGGCCACGAGGCGTTGGATCTGGTCCTCGAGCGACGGCGGTGTGTCCATGCCTCCAATGGGCGTGCCAGCGGCGGGTGCGGCAGCGGCCGCGCCAGCGGCATCGACCAGAAGCGGCGGGGAGGCCGCGAGCAGCGAGGCGGCGGCGGCAGCAGCGGGGGCACCTCCAGCCCATGGGTCCCTGGCCCCCAGGGGGTCGGCACCACGAGTATCTGCCCGAGCCTCGGCGCGACGCCCACCTCCACGACGGTCGCTGTCGTGTTCACCACCACGACGCTCGTCAGGCTCACCTCCACGGCGGACGTCACGGCGGATACCCTGGCGTGTTGGCCGGCGCTGCGATTGGGAACCGCCGCTGCGGCTGTGGCTGGCAGCACCGCGGCCGCTACGGTCGCTGTCAGAAGAGCTACCCATCGCATGCGGAAGCTCCAGCAGGAACTCACAAGCGTAGGCTGGCCGTGCGTGGGGCGGGCCACGCAGGACCTCTGCCTGGGGCGGACCAGGCGAATGAGAAAGACGTGGAGGGATGAGGTCCCTCGACCACAGCAGAAAGCAAGAGAGCTTGAGCTTGAGCCAAAATGGCTACGGAGGAGGAGGAGGAGGAGGAGGAGGAGGAGGAGCCGGGGGGCGGCAGACGCTGCGCGCGTCCGCGGGCGCGGCGCTCGGCCGGTGGGCGCCGGGGCGCCTGAGGCGATGGGCCTGGTTTCCACCAGCACCGCCAGCTGTTGGAGCGGGAGGGGGGTCCTCCTCCCCCTCTTCTCCTTCCTCCTCCTCTAGGGGGGGAACAAACCTACCTCGCTTTTGACCACCCTCGCTTCCAAGAGATACCAAGCGATGCCAAATTGCAGCCTGTACTGGTCAGGCCGCTTGACGAGGAGGCGCGTGGTATGGCTTGGTTTCGCCTGGAAGCGAAAGCGGGGTAGGTAATTCACTTCCTCCTCCTCAGCCTCCAAAGACCAGCGGCTGCGCTGCCTCCTGGAACATGCTGGGGCCCTCCTGGAGCTTGCTGTGCACACGCTCCTGCAGCTCCCGCACTCGCTCCTCCAAGAGTTCCCTCTGCCGCTCCAGCTGCGTCATGAGGTTGGCCTGGAACTCCTCCAGCTGGTGGGAGGCACCAAAGTTTGGAAATCTCATGGGGCTAGGATTGCTCGTGGACCTGTCGGCACATGTGGGATCATGGTGGTAGACCCACTTCTCCAGGTTATCCTGCCGCAGGGCGGCGTTTCTGAAGAGCAAGATGGTAACCAGCATGAGGGACGTAGCAACGCAGTCGATATAGGCACCCTCGGCGAGAAAGCTCGATGGCCCGTCCTCCAGCCAAGCGAGCAGCCAGGCCAAGCACGAGAAGAACATCGCGGATCCCTGGAGCAGCCAAGTAACAACTCGAATAGCAGATAACTTGAACACGGGGCAGAACGCTAAGTTCACGCCCATCTGAAAACCACCCATCTGTACTTCTGGTTTGATCGTCTCCTCAATTGTGAAATCCTGCCTGTGGTCCACGAGTCTCTTGGCGCCACGATCGTCTAGACCCGACTCCGCCAACGACATCAGAGTTGGGGGGCATGTGGCCCCACGCATCTTGCTCTGGAGCGATGACGCCTGCCCCTCCAAGGAAGTGTATCAAGAACACCGTGATTTGAAGGGTTCCTGCCATTGCACAACTCGTGGCCGTTGCCACCACCATCATCAGGCCCGCCAGTCCGCTCATCGCGATGGCAGCCAAGCGCAGTACAGGCGGCGATGCGATCATCCTCCAGACAGTGACAGTGCCGCCAACTCCCGTCCATTTCCCGCCGCCTGGCTCCCGCCCGATCTCCACGCGGACGCTGCCAGCTCGGCCCGCCATCGGCAGGCGGATGCCCTCGAGGCTGTCCGACAGTGGCAGGACCCTCACCTGGCGCGCCCTGGAGGCCTGCCGCAGGAGGCTGGGGTCCAGCGTCAGGGACGCCTTGCCCAGCGAAGAATCTTCCCTCTCGGCATCGTGGTCCCACACGTCAAGGTGCAGAAGCAAGGCCGCCGATGACCGTTTTACGGCGAACGTGAACTCTTGGTTCCAGATCGGATTGCGCTGCTTTGGGATCAGCCCTGTCCTCTTTGACGAGCTCTGTAGCAGTGACACCTCGTCCTTCAAGAACAGCTCCACGTAAGCTTTCGAGGCGTTCGTGAAGGGGAGAGACCCGCCCCCACCAGGCGACCTCGTGCCGCGGACGCGGCGCACAATCAGATACCCAGGGTGTGACGGTGACACTGTGCCGGTGTCAGTGTCAACGCGGCCCATGGCCACGCTCGGCAGATCCATCGTCATCGTGGAGATGTCGCCCGCATCGACATCGCCGGGCGTCGGCTGGGTATGGCCCTGCATGGCCTGCGGCACGCCTGTTTGTCGCCGCTTCCGCGTGGCCGCACTCGTCTCACAACAGCTCTGGCCTAGGCTTGAGCAAAAAGGGCTACGGATGACAGCAACTAAGACATTGAGGGCCGCTCGCTTTTCTTGGCGATCTCAGGGTCACCTTTCGCTGGAGATCATAAGTGAAAGTGTTGACGTAAGACCAAATCTGAGTAACGCTGTGCCAGTTCACGATCAGAAACCAGTAGATAGAACTTTCAAGCCACCCTCGGTGGGGAACCACGGCCATGCGCTCGACGTCATAACTCCCGAGCTCATGGAAGCGTTCCTCGACGCGGTCAAAAACCTCGCTTTGGAGGGCCACCCGAAAAATAGAGGCACGACTGGTAGCCAGAAGATTCCGAGGTTCTACAAAGATAAGCGTGCCTCGGGGATATGGGGAGTTCTGGAGGAGCCGGGTGTTCTGGAGGAGTGGGGTGTTGCAGAGATTTTCTGAAGGATCGGGGTGGGGATGGCGTGCCTGGGTCCCAAGGTAAACCTTTGAAGGGCCGTTGTTTCAGCTCGGATCGCCTGGGGCCTGGCGGGTAACACCTGCATCAAGTGCGTCAACTCTGACAGGGCCAGGGAGTTGTACGCGTAGATGTTCTGATAGTTTCTGTGTGTTGTCCGTGTGATGAAAGGGGGTGGTGCAGCTGAAAGGGGGTGGTGCAGCTGAAAGGGGGTGGTGCAGCTGAAAGGGGGTCCAGCTGAAAGGGGGTCCAGCTGAAAGGGGGTGGTGCAATAGATTTGGGGCAACTGTATTGCAAAAGTATTGCGCTGGAGAATTATGTTGCATTGTATTGCAAGTCATGCATTGCACGCGGGAATTCAGCAATACATTTACGTCCCGGAACGTATTGCACGCCCCAACTGTATTGCAACCCCACAAATATAGCACCAAATCTATTGCACCACCCCCTTGTCGCTGGACCCCCACTTGGGTCAACCCGAGTCTTCCCTCCTGATCAGCGCTCACTCGGAACCTTCAGGGGACCGCTGATATCGCTCAGCGACCCTTGAGCCCACCCCAACCGCCTAGCAACAGAAACATTCGGGACCTTCTTCCGCTCCGCCCGCTGCTTGCTCGCTCCTACTACGCAGGGTAGGCAAGGGTGCAATTATCAAAACGCTTCGTCCGTCACTTGAACCCGAGGTTGCTGTGAGCCAGGGCCCCGACTTCCTTCCCTCCAGGCTTCTCCAGGTCGGGTCGGCCGACCAGCTTTGATACCAAGTCCAATGGTTGCATCGGGCGCGCCGAGAGGCGACGACGAAGAGGGGGGCTAGCGCAGCCGGAAGTGGATGTGTACAGTACGTGCGCGCGCGAGGGGAGGGGTAGAGGATGCCTGGACAGAGGAACAAAGGCAGGGGGCAGTGAAGCATCGGAGATCCCAGCCTTGCGCAGGGACCGACCGTCCCGGCATTCCTATAGGCCTACCACGACATGTTCCTAGATCCCGAAAGTGTTCTAATAACAAGAAAGAACCCCGCCTCCCGGCTGGGACAAGCGAGCGCGCGTGCGCGCGGCAACCACGGGATCGGAGGCCTCGGGCCGACACCCCAACCAGATCCCCTCCAAGCACATCGAATTTCGAATTCGAGCCACCACGACCTCCTTATCAGCCAAGGGGACGACCTCCAGTACGGAGACAACGTAATCAATCCGAACCGCGACCCTTCCCAACGAATTCTCCGAGACATTAAACGCGTTTACGTCTGCAGAAAAAAAGATCCGATGGGTTAAAACAAGACGGCCTCAGCCAGAACTGTGCCAAGAACATCTTGTGCGGACCACGAAATGTTCTTAGAACATTCCCGGTGGTCCTCTCTAGCCAAGAGATCCGACGTCGTGAGTTTTTCAATCCGGGGTCCCCGGAGGTCTCGACCCGTTCTCCAGGACCGGTGGTTCATCCTGAGTCGTTTTTCGACGGTCCTGGGCCCCCGGCCAGGGCCGCTGGAGGCCGAAAATCGAGAAAACCCTCCGTCTTGATTTTTGTCACGTTGTCGGGAGCGGCGAAGAGGGGGGTGTCCAATGGGGGGGGGGGGGGCAAATCATGACCGGCGGCATGTGCGCGGCCCAGCGGGGGGGCCAGGGACGTCATAGAATAAGAAGAGGCGCCAGAAGATCTGGGGAGATATCATGGCCCACGCCATGATATCCACCCCCCCCTAGTCATCAACCCCCTTTTTTCCGCCCCCGAAATACGTTGGAGGTCTGGGAGGCGAGCCGGGACGCTTCGCCACTGCTTCGCAGCCACCTCCTCGGCGCCTCCTCGGCCTTCGGGCCGCTGCTCGGGCGCCACCACCGGCGGCCGCTCGGTGCGGTCTTCGGCCCCGCCCCCGAAGGTTTTCTCGCCGAGGCGCAGCTGGGCGTCAAGGCATCCCTGGGCGGGGAGACCTCCAAGAGTTTCAACGGCAACTACGAACGGGCCCTGGTACACACAAATAAGCAGGCACAGATGAGACAGGATTCCCCATAGTTTCCCATGCGCTCTGAGTTCTCGTCTTCCCCCCCACTTCAAAAGTTTTCCCGTATTTCCTGGGGAATCGACGATTAATTGTGTCTGTGTGTTTGTTCCCCTCCAGAAGCTGCCTCTCCTGCTCCCCCTTCGACGACGAAGCCGACCCCGACTGAGGCATCGCGGGGCGAGAAGACCAACGGCAACTGCCGCCCCATCTTCCCCCTTGGACGACGGAGCCGCTCCCGACTGAAGCATCGCGGGGCGAGAAGACCTCCAAGAGTTAGCTTGCTCCCAGCGTGCTCAAGAACCACATCCCCAACATAACATTCGAGCACGCCGGAAAGTATGGAAACAATGTCGAACGAGCATCGCCTCCGAGGGCCCGACACGTGAAAACCCTCAAGCTTGGTATCTTCCAAGTGCTCGAAATTCTTTCTGGCGGTCAAGGCTAAAATTGGTTGGCACATCCTAATTCAAGAGACACTGACAACTTCCTCCCCTCCTGAACTGGAGGAATCAACAAACAAGGCATGAAGATAATTCATCGGATGTCCGCGCGGATTTCTCGGATCGGCGCTGGACCCCCATCTCCTGCGCGCGGAGGCGCCGCCGGGGGGTCCCAAGCGCAGAGCCAGCAACTCCGCACGGAACTCCTGCAACTTGTGCTCATCTGCAGGTTGCTCTTCCTCGACCCTTCGATCACGGAAACGCCCCCGGGGTGAGCGGGGAGCGCTGGTCGGAAACCTACAGTCGGGGTGGATTGGAGAGGACACGCGAGAGGACACAAGACTCTTCCGATGGCCACATTTCCAGTGGAATGTAGTGGGCATGGGTCGCGAAACACAGGACACGAGGGTACTCTTGTTTGGGCAGGGTCGACCTACGAATCAAACTCGACTGTAGGCCCGCGTGGCCTTCCTGGCGCGGTTGAAAAAGCGAGGGCCGCGGGGCGGCCAACACAGGGGCGCGCAGGCCGCTGCCACCGTTCCTCGCTGCGGCGGTCGGGGGACCCCTTTGTGAATGGGCCCTGGGACACACAAATAAATACACACAAATAAACAGATTCCCCATAGTTTCCCATATTTTCTGGGTTTTTGTCTTCCCCCCCCACTTCCCATATTTTCCCATATTTTCTGGGGAATCGCCGATTAATTGTGTCTGTGTGTTTCTTTCCCTGCTGAATTTGGGCCCGCACCAGGGGGTCGCTCCAGCGACAGGTCACTCTTGCAGTCGAGATACTATCGGAAGGAACGCGAAATAAGGAACGAAGCCCCCTCTTGGCCCCAGAAGCGCCCAGGTGCACGAGGAGTGACGGAGGAGGAGCCGTGGAAGAGCTTACGGAACAGCGAGCTCCTTCGGCACCCGAAGCGTTCCTTATTTCAGCGTCTTGCCTGTACGTCTAGTCGATGTTGACCTGGGTCAGCCCAGACCCAAGCCCACGCCGGGCGGGCTTCGCAGGCTCCTGCAAACTCCCGCTGGACGTCCTGCGCGGCCCCGGGCCAGTGCGACCCGGGCCAGTGCGACCCGGGCGCCAGCCCAGGCCAGTGCGACCCGGGCGCCGCAGGGGCTCACAGGCGGACCCCGTTTCCGCAGCGGCCCCCGTCTCAAGGCTCTCCCGCGCAGGCCCTCGCGCTCGCAGGCGAGCGAGGGAGGACCTTCCCAGAAGGCCAGAGGGACCGTCGCCTTCTGAGGAGGCCTGCTCCTTCTCACTTCCCCCCCCTCGCTCGCCGCCGAGCTGGGCTCGTAGAGCTCCGGCGTCTTGTTTTTTCCATACGTGAGCCCCAGAACTCCCACCCCTCCCCCGGGGCCTGTGTCTCATCCCGCATCGCTTCTCGACGGCCCCTTGGGCCCGGCCAGGGCCTCCCGAGGCCGAGAACGGCGACAGAGCTCCCTCGTGATTTTTTTGTCGAACCCTCCCCGGGCCTCTCCCGGGGCGCGTTCTGAGTAGAATTCTGAGACGAGCCCAGCGGTGGCGACGAGGCCTCCCGTGAGGCCCCAACAAGTAGGGTCGGGTCGGGCATGTCCCCCCACAGTCGGACTTGGGGCGAAAAATGAAACCATACCAACAACATGCCCCTGAATAGTCAAGACGTTCCTGACACATCGTCCCCCGACTTTTTTCTATACTGTGTTTGAATATTCCTCCTTTCGAGGGACACGCCCGACTTAAAGCAGCGGTATGCAGACCTGCTCCTCCCCCGAGCCGTGACCTCTGGGAACCCTCTGGGTCTCTGGGCTCCCGGGCTGCCCCTCGCGCGCGCGCCGGGGCCTGGGGCGTCTGTCGCCGCCGCCAGCTTGCCTCGTCGACGACGACGCCGACGGCGACGGCGACGGCGACGACGACGACGGCGACGCCGACAACGACGGCAACGACAACAACGAATCGACGACGACGACGTCGATGCCGACGACGCCGACGAATCAACAACGGCGAATCGACGACGACGAATCAACAACGGCGAATCGACGGCGACAAATCGACGACGCCGACGGCGACGGACGACGACGCCGACGACG